GGTCTCTAAATTCAATAAATTTCAAATGATTCTCATAGTCGAGTGGTCAGGTGATCGACCTTTCGCAAAAGTAAATAACAATCGGTCTTCGTTAGTTCTTGCATGGGAGACCATCTGAGAAAACCAGCGGTAGATTTTTTTAGGTTTTGCCTTTCACATTGAAAAGACAATTACACAATTTGTGCGCATTATTCCCTACCCTAATGTCAAACATTAATTGTAGAAATTTGTGGAAATTTCAGAAATGTTCAAGATCATAGAAAGTTTTAAAATATGTTAGTATTTTCAATGAAAAAAAAATATTTTTTGCAATCTGCACCTAATTGTTCTCAAGCTGATAAAACAGTGTGCAAAGTTGTGCAAAGCGATTGTAAAGTTGGTAGATGTGCGTGTTTATTTGACCTAAGTTGTTGTTATATCGAACCTTGCCGTTACAAAACATGAAAAATAAATATAATCCATTTGAAGCCTTGGTGTTAGCTGTCTGTCATATGAGCCAGCCGTAAAATGTAAAAAAAAGCCTAAAATGTGAAAAGCGATTGAAAAGTTGATATATATGCGCGTATATTTCCCCTAAGTCATTTTATATAGAATCCCCCAGTTAAATTGAGAAGAAAATGTGTAAAAGTCTAAAAAAAGTCATTTATGTTCGCAGATTGTACCACTACCCAAGCGAAAAGGTTAAACAAAGTGCTTACAAAGTTGTGAAAAGCTAGTGCAAAGTTGTTAGATTCACATGGAAATGTAACCTATGTTGTAACATTATCGAGACCAGTAGTTAAAACATTGCAAAAGTGAATAAATATATCATGAAAGGCAGTTTGAATATCGACGTAGCCCCCGAAAGATGTTGGATTTTGAAACATTTCCATACTCTAAATGGCCGCCAATGACGACGAATTTCAAATTACTCTGATAGATGAGTGGTCAGGAGATCGACCGATCACAAAAGTGAAATTTAATCCATCGTGGTTAGTACCTGCATGGGAGATAACCTGAGAAAACCAGCGTTGACTTTTTTGGGGGGATTTTTGTAGTCTGCACCTCTTTGGTCTAAGCTCTTAAAACAGCGTGCAAAGTTGTCCAATGCGATTGCAAAGTTGGTAGATTTGCTTGTTTATTTGGCCTAATTTGTTGTTATATCGCACCCTGCTGTTATAAAGTATGAAAACTGAATACAATTCATTTGAAGCCTCACATGTTAGCAGACATGTAAAATGTACAAACACACCCTAAAAATGTGTAGAAGTCTAAAAATCTATTTAAGTTAGCACATTGTATTACTACCCAAGCGCAAAGTGATTAACAATGTGCTTACAAAGTTGTGAAAATATAGTGCAAAGTTGTCAGATTTACATGGAAATATAACCTATGTTGTTACGGTATTGAGACCTGCAGTTAAAAGTTCGCGAAAGTGAATGAATATTACGTAAAAGGTTAGTTTGAATATTGTAGTGGCCCTCGAAGGATGTAGAATTTTGAAACATTTCCAAACATTAAATGGTCGCCAATTACAACAAATTTCAAATGACTCTCATAGATGAGTGGTCAGGTGATCGACCAATCACACAAGTAAAGATCGCTTGGTTGTGGTTAGTACTTGCAAGGGAGACAACCTGAGAAAACCAGCGGTGTGATTTTAGGGGGTTTTGCCACACAAATTGAAAAGAAAGTTGAGTAAAGTCGAGTGTCAAAGGTTTGTGCAAGTTGACCCAGGGCTGTGTATGGTATGACAGTATATTAGGTGACGGGTAACTGACGCCTGTGACTGTAAGAGATTGACTGAAAGAAAGTTGTTGGCCATAGCAGCTGATTGGTGTGTCTGATAGCGACTGTGGATCTTCAATGTAGTGTTGACTGTGGCATGTGTGGTGTTCTCAACCTCTGCAAACAGTTGTTTTCAACCCGTGTTTCTGTTTGATTACTCGTTCTGGACCAACAGTGGAACACAGCTATACATACCTAGTTCATAAAATATACAGTTGTCAATTACTGATCATACACAACTGTAAGAACAACATTAGAACATGGTGTGGTTTCAGAATTTCAAGCTTCAGACTTTTTTCTTACGATTCAAAATGGCCAACCAGTGGCCATTTTGTTCCATGGTATTACACCTCTGGAGTTATATCTCATACATGCATTAGTGGTTTCTATTTAGGTACTAACTAGGACAGATCATAAAATTCATATGTATATGTCAATTTTGTCTGTATTTAGTTTTTGACTGAATTTAAAATGATGAATAATCATAATTTCAGGGCATCATCAAGCATTTTTCAAACATATTTTTATAAATTTTGGAGTATGCACGATTTGACAAGTATGTTTATTTATTAATGGTCTTTCTCAGATATAACAAGCCATGCATGGCACAGTCCCTGTTAGTTATCAAATTTAAAATATATAGTTATGTTTATAATAATATAGCTGGAATATAACCATGTCAGGAATATGATTTTTTAACATTAAAATGATTGACATTTAATACAAATACTTAGATATTGCTCTGATAGATATTGCTCTGAAACAGCATTCAAAATCAGCCATTTTGAATACGTGTATATATATATATAACATGATGTATAATGAATATATAAAATTTGAATATAATCAGTCAAAGCATTTAAGAGATATGGCTCTAGTAGCCCAATCATTAAAACAAAATGGCCACCAGTCAGCCATTTTGAATCCAATCTGAAAAATAAAATGACGTGCATCAGGAACCTGTAATGTCTAATGTATGTTATAAGTTTTAACAAAATCCATATATAAATGCGAGAAATGTTTGATATTTGACGATTTTTGTAGCACAAAAATAGCCAACATTTGGCCACTTTGAAAAGGATCGTCAAATCAAAATATCCGTATATCTATGACATGATGTATAATGAATATTAAAAATTTGAACATAATCAGTCAAAACAAGTCAGGACATATGGGTCTGGAAACCTATTCATTAAAACAAAATAGCCGCCCGACAGCCATTTTGAATCTGATCTGAAAAATAGTATGATGTGCATCAGGAACCCGTAATGTCTAATGTATGTACCAAGTTTGAACGAAATCCATCCATAAATGCCAGAAATTCTTGATATTTGATGATTTTTTAGCACAAAAATGGCCACCATTCGGCCATTTTGAATAGGATCGTCAAACCAATATATCTATCCATCTATGACATGATGTATAATGAATATTTAAAATTTGAACATAATCAGTGAAAGCAAGTCAGACATATGGCACAAGAACCACATTCATTAAAACAAAATGGCCGCCAGTCTGCCATTTTGAATCTAATCTGAAAAACAAAATTATTTGCATCAAGGTCCCATAATGTCTAATGTATATACCAAGTTTGAACAAAATCCATCTGTAAACAGCCGGAAAATGCTTGATTTTGGTGATTTTTCAGCACAAAAATGGCCACCATTTGGCTTTTTTTAATAGAATCGTCAAACCAATATATCTGTATCTATGACATGATCTATAATGAATATTCAAAATTTGAACATAATCAGTCAATGCAAGTCAGAGATATGGCACTAGAACCACAATCATTAGAACAAATTTGCCGCCAGTCGGCCATTTTAGATCTTATCTAAAAAACAAAATGATGTGCATCAAGGTCCTATAATGTCTAATGTATATATCAATTTTGATTAAAATCCATCTGTAAACAGCCGAAAAATGATCGATTTTGATGATTTTTAGCACAAAAATGACCACCATTCGGCCATCTTGAATCAGATTGACGTGCACATGCATAATATCATGTATGAAGTATGTGTGAAGTTTGATTGTGATTGGTCCAAGCATTTCTAAGGTACAGGTCCGGATGCACACACGCATGCACAGACACACAGAGGTCAAAACATAAGTCCCCATTTTCGGACTGTGTCCGAACGGGGACAAAAAAGGTCTGATTCTGTGACATTTGTGAACAGATATACAGACAAACCAAAATTTTATTTTACTATGTATGTTGGTGGAGCAGCAGATAAAAGTCATTTTGCCAAAGGTAACCTAGAAATCACATTATAAATTTGCACATTATAAAGTTGCAGAGCAAACATGAATAACAAAGCAGACAGAACAATGGTTGATGTGTATCATTGCTTCTACATGGGTTACAGGGGAACATTACATGGCATTCACACTAACTAGTAAGAATTACTACAGCAGATTGTGTTTCACAAAAACAACGTCAAGATACTTGCCAATTTACCATATGGATTGTAATTTTGACAAATGAATTGTGATTGGACTTTTAATTTGCAATTAATATATGACGTCATATTTTCTTTCAGGTGCGTGCGACAGTACAAAATCATCATTGTTCCTCATTTCCTACCACAACATCCCATTCTATCTCTAATCCATCCATACTATTTGTACATCCATATTGTAGTAGTTAGTGCATTGGCTGGTGACTACATATAGCTTTGCCTTCCACTTGACTAAATCTCATGCATGGTAAACATAACCTCAAAATTGTTCAATGTTATAACAGTGGTACAATATTCCTATTCAGTAACTGAATATGTTATTACCAATTATATATAACTTACTATTAACCTTGTAAATAAATAAGCATTTATACTGCAGATGTGCTTCAAATAAAGATTGCATATTCATTTTATCATAATAATAAGTTTATTGTATTTATTTGTTTATCAGAAAATATATCAACTGTTGGGATCTTGAATAATCACGAAATTATTTTTGTGTTTCTCAAAATCACAGATATTATTTATTTATTGTCAGCAGCCAAGTATGACAAACAAGTCATATTGTATTTAATTTGCATGAAGTCACATGATGTATATCAATCAGGAGTACATACTATTTATAAATATTCATAATTCCATCTAATGGAAATTGTTGCAATTGTATGATATAATAACATTGATAGACACCCCCACCCTCCAGACCTTCCCAACTCAAGTATGTTTCAAAATAATGTGGTCACTTAGGAAAATTTCTCAGTTGTATTATACTTAGTGCTTTTTATATTTTATTTGATCCTGTGGATAAATAACCATCACTGTAGTCCCTGCCATTGCAAAAGCTGCAGCTACAACACCGGGTGCCTGGTAGGAAAATTCTTGTAGGACACCACCCAAGAATGGTGTAAGCATCCTTGCCACTGACATCACAGTTTGACTAAGACCAATCACGGCACCAACTTCAGTAACTCGACCACGTCTGACACTCAGGTCTGTGCAACAAACTCTAGCAATTGAATTTGATAATGAAAGCGGGGCTAGAAGGATCATTATGAACCATATATTTGGAGAAAATGTTAGGAAGATAATTGCTAAGACCTGCATGACTCCAGCATGTATAAGAAGCTTTGCTTCATTATTATATAATCTGATTATGTGTCCAACAAACATTCCACTCAGTACTGCTACTGCACTTCCCATTGATATAATATAACCATTGGTTTTAGGACTAGTCCCATATTCATTCTCCAACATCAGAGTGAAGTTACTGCGATAAAGAAGGGCTGCAAACCCCAAGAGAAAGCGGATAATAAACAAATCAATTTGGCCTGTTAGTATATGGCTGAATGTCCTGAAGAATGTAATGGGATTTAAATTAAGGTCTTCTAATGCAAATTTTTTTTCTGATGTTGATCTTTTTATTTTGTCCTCAGGTATGGGTTGGATAAAATACCAAGTTATAACTGAAAGAAAAAGGAGAAATCAACAATAATAAAGTGTCAACTTGGTTTAGATAGGCAATGAGATAGGTAATCAAAGATATATGCAAATCTATGCACCGTTCCACAATCAAACTATTTCTCATTTAGAATATACATGTAGTTGCTAGTCCGATAATATGCACTGGTGTACATGATGTTTTCCACTTCAAATATTGGTCAGAGTGGTATTTGGAAATCGGCTGTTGCTATGTCAGAAAAATGTTTGGAAATCAGCTACTACCACGGTATTGGTCACAATAGTGTTCTGAAATCAGATGCTACCACACTATTGGTGCGAATGATGTTTCGGAATCAGCTGCTGCCACACTATTGGTCAAAATGATGTTTGAAAATTAGCTGCTACCACACTATTGGTGAGAATGATGTTTCGAAATCAGCTGCTACCACACTATTGGTCAGAATGATATTTGGAAATCAGCTGCTGTCACGCGATTGGTCAGAATTGTGTTTTAAAATTAGCTGTTGCCACACTATTGGTCAAAATGATATTTGGAAATCAACTGCTGTCACGCGATTGGTCAGAATTGTGTTTTAAAATTAGCTGCTGCCATACTATTGGTCAAAATGATGTTTGGAAATCAGCTACTGCCACAGTTTTTGTAGTAGACATTATTTTAAAATATTCAAATCTGTGTCTCCTTATTTATTTTTTCTTCCACTTGCCTTGTTCAACTATTGAATAAGATTGCTATAATAAAATTGGTATACAATTGATAATTCTTAATTAATCATGATTTTGGTGGGCGATGTTGTTCATTTTTTTTCAAAAATCTAAGAATGCACACAGTTTTTTATTAGTTTTTTAATTTTCATAATAATCATACTTTAATATCAACTGAATTTCTTTCAATTTTCTTAAAATATTGATGAAAATATAGCTGCAACATCAAGTTTTTAACATACACATAAATATATTACAGTATACTTGTTCTATTTCTCTATGGAATGACATTACTGATTGAGTAACATTACAAACTGCTTTTACAGAGCACATACACTATTGGTCACCAAGATCTTATTCAGAGTGTGACTTGTTTTTGTACATCAAAACATGTTTCATTCTTTCCTGTCATAATGCCTACTGATGTAAATACCATGGTTACATAGGTTAGGAGAACAGTAGATGCAATGACTGGAAAGACTGAAACACTGTTTGAGATGATGCAGAAACAAGTTTCTCAACAAGAACCTTGTTTGAGTTTAAGGTCTATTTTGGCAATAGACGAATTTCCATTAATTTCATTGGTCAAGAAATGGTATTTTTTTGTACCAGTGACCAATCACAGTTGTCCAGAATTATATCAGTGTACATTACATGATTTATAGAACCCACACAATTCTACATTGGTAATTATTATATTTTCAATTCTATGTTGGTAATTATTATATTTTCAATTCTACGTTGGTAATTATTATATTTTCATTTCTGAAATAAAAAGCCCATATAAATACATGTCAACAAAAATATTTATTGCACCCTATTTTTGTGAAAATAGTCATTTCTTACAGTATACATACAATCCTTTTTTACATGACACTAATGATCCAGTATGATATATCCTTACCTAAGTCAAGAAAAAACATGGTGGCTGAGCAGAGACAAACTCTCATGAAACCATTGTCAGTTTCGGCAATATGGCCACCAAGCACTGGTCCGATGATGAATCCTATACCAGATATAGAATTGAGAGTGCCATAAACTGCTGGACGTTCATCTGCCGGGGTGATGTCAGTCAGGTATGCTTTACTCAGTGACATTGTGTGCTTAAAAATACCTGAAAGAACATGTCTGAGTTAATATTTCTGTGTTGCAATATTGTTGGTTATTTTATTCTATATTTAGTATGGTGTAATTAATTCTTAGTTTCGGGTTTATTAAGTCAAAATAATAACCAACTAAATAAATAAATATAATTTTGTGATTATTGATTAGAAAAATTCTGAGAGTGGATGATTCAGAAAGTAAATTTATGACTCCTAAGACGCTAAAAATTTAATCAGAAAAAAATAGAACTCCCTAAGACACTGAAAAAATTTTAAACTTATCCAAATGAAAATTCAACCAGAACAGAATTCATAATATGTTTACAATTAAATCAGAAATTTAAGGGAATTATTCTTATTTTTCAGATATTGGCTAAAATATATTTTGAACCCAATTATCTTGAGAATGCAGCAACTAATATAATTGTACATGACACATGATTCAATCCAGTCTAGTGGACAATGCAGCATTAAAAGCGGTGGTCATTGCACAAGTGCAAAATTTGTGTTGATAAACAATCAGATTTTCCCACAATTCAATGCCCTTCTAATGAAAACTATGTGTATGGGTTTCGACCTGGGCACGATGTGCATTAAGTACTGTTGTCAACTCCTTTGATACCTTCAAATAACCAAAAAAATACCTAATTAATGCTTTGTAAAATCTCAGTTTGTGTTTGTTGGTCTGCACAAGAGTCAAAGTCACCATCTTTATGCATACGAGACCCATATCTCAGGCATGTGTGATGGGACGACTACTGCCATTTAAATATTTTAGCTATCACTCAACCATTCTCAAAAATTAATGCACTTATAACTGTAACAGTTCCAAATTTAAACCTATTATCGTTTTGTAAAAAGTTAAATATAGTGCACAATATGGAGATCCCGTCATTACTTTTTTTTCACCATGTTTCTTTTTGATTATTTATGTACAGCCTTGCTAAATCTTGCTAAGCATTCAAAAGAGAGAATGTTTGTACCTGTTTTCTATATTTTAAAATCGTCTTTTGAGTATGTTCCACTATTCATAATGCTGTGAAATTTTAACAATCTATAGCCAAGACTGTTTGGATAATAAAAAGCAAAAAAAAAAGAAAATTCACTCCTCAAGTGCCCACGAACCTGCATCTATACCTTAAGAAATTTTTATAGAAGTATTTCTATTTTAGTGATCAATAAAAATTTGAAATATTCAGTGACTGAAATAAAATAACAAGGTAAGTTGGAAAGCAAACAAGAATATTTCCATTGTCTAACAAAAGAGGCAGTATATACCATTATTGTATGACTCACTGATTTACTTACACAAATATACAACTTTTCATGAGAATATTTTAGTAAAAAAATTCTCAAAAATTGTCAACATACCAGATGGTATCCGTGACAACATCAGTATAAGAATTGTAGATGAAAAGCCTAACATTACATAGCCTACAGATGAGAATGCAAAACACCATAGCAATGACCATCGTCTTCCAACTACATCACTCCATTTACCCTACAAATAATGCACAACAATCAGTAATATAAATAATAACTTATAGTCCATACCACATTTCAATTAAAGAATTGAAGATATTATCACAAAATGAACAAAACTTAGATAGAGTTCAACCTGTAGTATAATTGTATGTATCAATCACTTTATAGCAAAAATTACAAAATCAAATTTAGAGAATTGAAGATATTATCATGAAATGAACACATCTGAGAGAGGTCCACCTGTAATGCCTATAGGTATAATATCATACTTGCGGTTTTCAAGGAGAAGTTGAAAAAGTAAATTGTTGATGTGGACAACGGACGGCGACAGGCAATCACTCATATGATAAGCTCCACTCTAAAAAGTTGACAGCAGAGCTAATAAAGACCTTGCATCAGTACATAACCATCACCCAGATCTAAAAAAGACCTGACTTCTATACATACCCATCACCCTGATCTAATAAAGACCTGACTTCTATACATACCCATCACCCTGAT